GTGTCACCCGCTGCAATATACTGCTATCATGCACCCCAAACTTTGTCTGCAGCTGGCCATCCTTGCATGGGGGGCTGGCCTGGTTCAGTCTCTGGTCCAGTCCCATGCCACCCTCCAGTTACCCTTCTGCCCCCACCGCAGGGTGGATGACATTGTGTGTGAAGTCCCAGCCCTGATTCAGGCCTCCAGTGCAGACACCGCCTACAATGAAATCCAGATGTCCATAGCCAGTATCATCTTCCTGGTGCTCCCCTTGGTCATCATCCTTTCCTCGTATGGGGCTGTTGCTAAGGCTGTGCTGAGAATAAAGTCAGCTGCAGGGCGGAGGAAGGCATTCAGCACCTGCACTTCTCACCTTCTTGTGGTGTTCCTCTTCTATGGCACAGCCACAGCTGTCTATCTCCAACCCAAGAACCGCTATGCTCAGGAACAGGGCAAGTTTCTCACCCTTTTCTACACCATTGCAACCCCAGCACTTAATCCCCTCATCTACACTCTAAGGAACAGGGAGATCAATGGGGCGCTAATAAGACTGGGGAGGAGGACTTGGGATGCCCAGAATAACTGAAGCAGTTGGTGAATGTTGGTCTCTTGCTTATCCTGAGAAGAGAGAATAACCTCAATGCAAAAGCTGAAGATTTACCTTCTCACCTGAAAATAGAGGAGAAATAGCTGCATTTTGTTCAAGCTGATATTTCAGGTCTATTCATCAACCGCTGATTAGGCCCTCACTTTCTGCAGGGTGCTGACTGAGGCATGGAATGGTATAGAAATGAGTAGATTTAATAATCAGTGTCTTAAAGAATGCTCAGTACAGTTGAATCAGAGAAACAAAAGAAACAGACTTGCAAAATAAAAGACCCAATATAAATAAAAGACAAAAGACAAAATAAAAGAATCTGTTTTGTGCCTTGCCACTTCTTTCTTTTTCTTTGCTCTATTTTCCTCCAAGCTCTACCAGAACTTTTATCCAAATGTCCAGTCCAGCAAGGGCCCTAACGTTTTGAGGCAGAGAAGTTTACGAAACTTCGATGTCCTCTCACTCTGAAAGGTGGGTCTTGTTTCTCAGTCACTGTTGCCTCTTCACCTCAGCAGGACCACTGCTGATGTGTCATGTGCCCAAAACTACTCAGTGCAAAGTATTGGCCAAGCAGAAGTCCACACCCACTGCTCTCTGGGTCCAGGTTCTTAGTTTGAGCCCTGAGGTTCCAAGACCCCAGTTACAGGAAAAGATTCCATTTCTAGTTCATTCTGAGTCTCTATTGTAATGGAATGGCCTTCTTTTAATCAGATCCAATTATTCGTTTATCTTGAAAATATGTATTCATTTCCTGTTATACATCTAACATGTTCTAGGTGCTGGATATATAATGGTATATAAGACATAAATCATCAACATCATGGACCATATGGTCAAATGGTGGATGCAGATACTACATGAAATATTCTTTCTTTGTTATTTAATGGTAAGAGACTTGTTCTTTGGCTCCCGTGTCAGGCTGATTGAAATGCTGCATCCTTTTTTAAAAAAAAAATATTGTCAAATTGGTTTCCATACAACACCCAGTGCTCATTAGAACAAGTACCTTCATCAATTCCCATCACCCACTTGCCCCTCTCCCCCACACCCCATCCACTTTCAGTTTATTATCATTATTTGAGAGTCTCTTAGGGTTTGCCTCTCTCCCTCTCTGTCACTTTTTTCCCATCCCCTCCCCCATGGTTCTCTTTTAAGTTTCTCCTGTTCCACATATGAGTGAAAACATATGGTACCTGTCTTTCTCTGACTGTCTTATATCACTTAGCATAATACCATCTAGTTCCATCATGTTGCTGCAAATGGCCAGATTTCATTCTTCCCAAGTAGTATTCCATTGTATATATAAACCACATCTTTATCCATTCATCAGCTGAGGGACATCTAGGCTCTTTCTATAATTTGGCTATTGTTGAAAGTGCTGCTATAAACAATGGGTGCATGTGCCTCTATGCAGCAGTACTCCTGTGGCCCTTGGGTAAATTCCTAGCAGTGCTATTGCTGGGTCATAGGGTAGTTACATTTTTAATGTTTTGGGTAACCTCCACACTATCTTCCAGAGCGGCTGCACCAGTTTGCATGCCCACCAACAGTGCAAGAGGGTTCCCGTGCCTCCACATCCTCCCCAGCGTCTAGAGTCTCCTGATTTGTTCATTTTAGCCACTCTGACCGGCGTGAGTTGATATCTCAGTGTGGTTTTGATTTGTAATTCCCTGATAACGACTGATGTTGAGCATTCTTTCACGTGTCTGTTGGCCATCTGGGAGTCTTCTTCGGAAAAGTGTCTATTCATGTCTTCAGCCCATTTCTTCACTGGATTATTTGTTTTTCGGGTGTGGAGTTTGGTGAGTTCCTTATAGATTTTGGACACTAGACCTTTATCCGATATGTCATTTGCAAATATGTTTTCCTTTCCATCGGTTGCCTTTCAGTTTTGCTGATTGTTTCCTTTGCCATGCAGAAGCTTTTTATCTTGATGAGGGCCCAGTAATTCATCTTTGTTTTAAATCCCTGGTCTTTGAAGATGTGTGGAGTAAGAAATTGCTGCTGCTGTGGTCAAAGGGGTTGTTGCCTGCTTTCTTCACTAGGTTTTTTTTTTTTTAATGTTTTATTTATTTCTAGGAGAGAGAGAGAGAGACAGCGTGAGCAGGGGAGGGTCAGAGAGAGAGGGAGTCACAGACTGAAACAGGCTCCAGGCTCTGGGCTGGCAGTCAGCACAGAGCCCGACGCGGGGCTC